TACATCAGGATCCCCAGAGTCTCCCCACATTACATCAGGGTCTCCAGAGTCTCCCCACATTACATCAGGGTCCCCAGAGTCTCCCCACATTACATCAGGATCCTCAGAGTCTCCCCACATTACATCAGGGTCCCCAGAGTCTACCCACATTACATCAGGGTCCCCAGAGACCCCCCACATTACATCAGGGTCCCCAGAGTCTCCCCACATTACATCAGGGTCTCCAGAGTCTCCCCACATTAGATCAGGATCCCCAGAGTCTCCCCACAATACATCAGGGTCCCCAGAGTCTCCCCACATTACATCAGGGTCCCCAGAGACCCCCACATTACATCAGGGTCCCCAGAGTCTCCCCACATTATATCAGGGCCTCCAAAGTCCCCCTAAGCACTCCATCATACTGTATTTAAAATATGCACCGCATACAAACATAACCCCCATAATCTCTCACTCCAACCAAAACTCTACCAAGCATATCCTACCTTCTATCCAACCCAGCAGTACCTCAAATGTCCCATCCTCTACCACCCATAATAACCACATAATCCTGAACCTGTCCAAACACCCATACATGTATGCTTACATTTACACATACAGACACATGTACACACACGTACAGACACATGTACACACACATGTACGTACACATACAGACACATGTACACACACACACACGTACAGACACATGTACACACACACAGAGACACATGTACATACACATACAGACACATGTACACATACACACACATGTACACATACACACACATAGAGACACATGTACTCACACAGACACATGTACACACATAGACACAGACACACAGGCACATGTACACACACATACAGACACATGTAAACACACATACATACAGACACATGTACATACACATACAGACACATGTACATACACACACATACATACATACATACATACACATGTACACATAGACACATACAGACAATGAACACACACACACATAGAGACACATGTACATACACAGCCACATGTACTCACACAGACACATGTACACACATAGACACATACAGACATACAGACACATGTACATACAGACACATGTACACAGACACATGTACACAAATAGACACATGTAGAAACAGACACATGTACACACACACAGACACATGTACACATACACATAGAGACACATGTACACACACACGTACTCATACAGACACATGTACACACACACACACACATACACACATAGACACATACAGCCACACAGGCACATGTATACACACACAGATACATCTACACATATAGACACATACATACATATGTACACATTGTACATACATACAGACACATGTACACACACAGACACATGTACACATATGGACACATACAGACACATGAACCCATTGTACACACATAGAGACACATGTACACTCACAGACACATGTACACACATAGACACATACAGGTGTACACACATACAGACACATGTACACAAACACGTACTCACACAGACACATACAGACACGTACTCACACAGACACATGTACACAGCCCTTGTCAGGGATCGGTGACTCTGCCGCGATACTCCGGGTGGCGCATGCGCAGAGCACCGATACATTCTAGCCAGCGAGCAGCGGGACCTGGGTGATCGCGACGGCCGAGCATGCTCACTCGCGATCACGGACATGTGCCTGGCACCAATGAAAGCGCAGGGCACGCTATTTAAACAGGACAGGAGGTATGTCAAATTGCCGTTTGGTCTTTATTGCCTGTTTCTGTTATCTGATCCTGTGAAGCTTCTGTTGCCAACCTCTGCATTGTTCCTGACCCTGCTGATTGTCTCCTGTCTGACCCCTAGCTTACCTGACCATCCTTCTGTCTGATCCTCTGTACCGCACTGCCCGCTAGTTACTGAACCCGGCTTGTGACCCTGACCATTCTCTGCCTGCTCCTCCGGTACCTCGCTGCCCGCACGTTGCTGACCTGGCCTGCCTGACTACGCCTTACGTTACCCTGATGATCCATCCATCCATCCCGCACGGATCTGTCCCTGTTACCAGGCCTGCCAACCTCTTCACGTCAGGCTCCATTACCCGCACACATCTGGCGGCACTCTCTACCATTGCTGGACGTACTCAGGGGTCGCCACCTGGTCTCAGTCTGCTCCAAGTCCATCCCAACCATCAGGGGCCCTGGTGAACAAGCAGATTGGACTTAGACCCCCGCGCCCTGTGTAACCCTGTGCCGTGGGCTGCTAGAGATGCCGCCAGGCGGTGCATGACAGCCCTATTCAAAGTTGCAGTATATTACCTTTCCTCACTGAGCCAGGTACTGCACTCTAGGGGGAGGCAGAGAGCACAGCACACACTGCCCCTTCCTTTGCTCAGCTATTGAGCAGTCTGACAGACTGAGCATGCTCAGTAAGACAACCCTGGAGGACACGATTGCCCCAACCTATTTTTAAGACATGACTATACCTCATCACATATTTTTGCAGCTGAATACGTATGAATACAATTTGCTGTAAGATGCAATTATTTCTGAAAAGTGAATCACCAAAGGGATATAATCTTTTTTCTAAAACTGAGTGGGTGTAGCCCTCGGCAGACATAATATGACCCCTTGATGTATTTCACTCAAACTTCCACTGTTTCATATGGGTTTGACATGCCTGCTCTAAGGCTATGTTTACACTGGCATTTGGGGGCCATAAAACTATGATCCTCCCCAAAGGTGCAAAGGCAGTTGTACAGGCGTGTACACATGCCACAGCCACAATGCTTTGCAATACACTGCAGAAAAAATCTCCTCCTTCAACTAACTTGACCATGTCCAATGCTGTGGTGCTTGTTTTTAGTGGTTAAACAGGCATGGAAGAGGTAACATAACGCCTCTGGTGAAGGCCATGTAAACAAGCCCTAAAAGGAAAGTTTTTTGAAGCATGCTGAAAGCTTTGTATGTCTGCTTTACAAGATAGTGTTCAGGCTAGCATCTACAGTCTAAAGCCTATGTAAGCAAAGCCTTAGCATACGGAACAATGATGATGTGCAAAGTGCAGTAAATCTATCAGAGTGTAACCAGGATGGTGAAAGGTGTTTGCTGATTGACTTCCCTACTGATTAAAGGTCAGTGCATCCAAAATGATTTTCCAGGTAGGGACATATGCTAATGGCTGAATCATTCACAGTTACACCTGGTGGGGAGAGACAAGGTAAGAGATCTCTGCAGGGTCTCTTTCCTACCATCATCATTACTACGGCTTTCGTTCTCATGGCCAGCTTTATTATTAGAGGAGGAAAGTCATTCCCTTGTTTGCTTCAAAGGTAGGAATTTCATTGTTGGAGCTCCAGAGAAATTCAATCCATCAATGTCTGTCCAAAACTTAAATATCAAGAGCCAAGGAAAAGGACATTTTAGATCACCCTCTCTCAACCTTTTCAACACGGGTGAACCCGTGAAATAACATTCCGGTCTCAGGTAATCCCTGCTAAAACTTACTATATCTACAACTCATGGTACATTAGTGTGATGGTCAGTAGAAAGAATGCTCTTTACGCTTATAGCCATTGGGAAGAATTCCCACCTTACAGATAGCTAAAAAGATCAAAGGTGTCAGTGGGAATTTATCTGAGAGGGAGAAAAATTCTCATTGCTCAAGCAACTTCTGGAGGAAACCTAGGGTTCCACAGAAACCTGTTTGAGAAACCCTGTTTTTGATTGTCTCTATTCATAATTGGCCTTCATATGGTCTGCACCCTATTTTTGTAGCTGCGGGTATCCACTGAAATTTTGAAGATACATTTTCTGAAGGAGTAGTCACATAAGGACAGCACTCCTGCATACATACAGTTCTAGTGCCACATCTCTGTATCAAATATGGCCCTCAATCCTCTGTACTGCCTTGGAAAGCCAAATCTGTAGCAGAGCCAGCTACTTACAACCCAGAATATTCTTTAGCCTTTTATTAAGTCTAAAGTCCTATTACATCAATGCATGTTTCAAAATACAAACAGATGTTACAGACTGTGATTTCTGTTTTTTCCCCTTGAAAGAGCTTAAAGTGGTCTCATATTTTCTCACGGGTGTCATGGTCTTGTTTCACCTCCTGATCTCCTTGTATTCTTTGAAGTTAGCTTATGCGAGCAGTCTTTAATTTACACTATACACGAGAACCATTTCTTTCAAAGTGTCTTTTATACCATGTTTAATCTCTGTTCCTTCACACACAGCCTTGTTTTACAGTTTTCTTCCCTAGCAATCATCAATAAAAATGGCAGTTTTAGAAAGTACACATACAGAAAGGGGTGCTCTAGTAATCTTTGACTCGTAACTTATCAGGTGCTTTATAATGAGGTCAAAAAGGGATTAGCAAGTTTCCAAGAAAAATATGTAAAAGGTGAGAGGTGCAGTGCTGACCCAGAGAAGAGGCCAATTTAGCACACTAATAGCATGGCAATAATTGGTAGTCATTTTATCTCACTGATAAGTAGAAGAGTGGATGTGTACACATGGACTCACACAGGCAGATTCTGTTATTCTTCAAAAGTCAACTCTCAGACTCTTCAACCAACATGTGCATCTTGACTGTTTGCCACAGGTTGATTAATCTCCATATTACTTACAATGCCAAAAGTATTGGGACTCCTGCTGTTACACACACATGAACTTTAATGGCATCCCATTCTTAGTCCGTAGGGTTCAATATTGAGTTGGCCCATCCTTTGCAACTATAACAGCTTCAACTCTTCTGGGAAGGCTGTCCACAAGGTTTAGGAGTGTGTCTATGGAAATGTTTGAGCATTATTCCAGAAGTGCATTTGTGAGGTAAGGCACTGATGTCGGATGAGTAGGCCTGGCTCGAAGTCTCCACTCTAATTCATCCAAAAGGTATTCTATCGGGTTGAGGTCAGGACTCTGTGCAGGCCAGTCAAGTTCCTCCATCCCAAACTCGCTCAACCATGTCTTTTTGGACCTTGCTTTGTGCACTGGGGCCATCCCCAAACTGTTCCCACAAAGTTGGGAGCATGAAATTGTCCAAAATGTCTTGGTATGCTGACTCCTTAAGAGTTCCCTTCACTGGAACTAAGGGGCCAAGCCCAACCCATGAAAAACAACCCCACACCATAATCCCCCCTCCACCAAACTTTACACTTGGCACAATGCAGTCAGGCAAGTACCATTCTCCTGGCAACCGCCAAACCCAGAGACATTCATCGGATTCCCAGACAGAAAAGCATGATTGGTCAGTCCAGAGAACATGTCTCCACTGCTCTAGAGTCCAGTGGCGGCATGCTTTACACACCACTGCACCCGCCGTACTTGGTGATGTAAGGCTTGGGTGCAGCTACTCAGTGCCATGAAGACCCATTCCATGAAGCTCTCTGTGCACTGTTATGCTAATCGGAAGGCCACACAAAGTTTGGAGGTCTTTAGCTATTGACTCTGCAGACAGCTTGTGACTTCTGTGCACTGTGTCATTTTACATGGCCTACCACTTCGTGGCTGAGTTGCTGTTGTTCCCAGTTGCTTCCACTTTGTTATAATACCATTAACAGTTGACTGTGGAATATTTAGTAGCAAGGAAATGTCACAGATGGACTTATTGCACAGGTGGCAACCTATCACGGTAACTTGCTTGAATTCACTGTGCTCCTGAGAGCAACCCATTCTTTCACAAATGTTTGTAGAAGCAGTCTGCGTGCCTCGGTGATTGATTTTATACACTTTTGGCCTTGGAGGTGATGGAACACCTGAATCCAATGATTTGAAGGGGTGCCCCAATTCTTTTGGCAATATAGTGTGTGTGTGGACAGTTAGACATGGCACCATAAAGATCATCAAGGATGACTAGAAAATCAGATCCAAAATTCCAGATTTGTGCAGCTTATCTCCCATGGGCCTCTAATGTCTTCATTTTTCTGTGGGAAATTCTGCCCAACAGAACAGTGGTATTGTGTCACTATTGTGACCTAAATGAGGATGGATATAGACATACACTATATCAGGGTTTTTCAACTAGGGTTTCATCCAAAGGTTGCTAGGGGTTCCTTGACCAATGAGCAATTTCTGCCGCTGAGATAGTTCCCACTGACACCGTTCATATTTTTTGCTATCTGCAGGGGGGTAATTCTTCCCAATGACTACAAGTGTAAGGAGCATTCTTCCCTCTGACCATCACACTGATGTATCATGAGTTGTAGATATAGTAATTTTTAGCAGGTGTTTCCTGAGACTGGAAAGTTATTTCAAGGCTTCCTCTGTGTTGAAAAGGGGTGAGATAAAGGCTGCACTATATGGTAAAAGTGTGTGGACACCTGACTATTAAACCTATACGAGCTTGTTGTACATCCCATTCCAAAACCTTTGGCATTGATATAAAATTGCTTCTTCTTTTGTGCTATTACATCCTCCACTCTCCTCGTAAGGTTTCCCGAAAGATTCTGCAGTGTGTCTATGAGGGAATTTGTGCTCATTTAGTCAAAAGAGAATCTGGAAGGTCAGGTCCTGATGCTGGACAAAAACACCCGGCTTGTAATTGGCGTGCCAATTCATCCCAAGGGCATTCAAAAGATTTGAGGTAAGAGCTCTGTACAGGTCTCTCAAATTTCTCCACACTGGACTCGTAAAACCATATACAGTACATTTATGGAAATGTCTTTGTGTGAAACCCCCCGAACAGGAAGACAACAGCAATAAAAAATTGTCGGAAGTTCTAAATTGTCTTTTTTTGTAAATTTTATCCAAAACTAAACTAAATAAATGTAAACTTAAAAGGACATTCCTGAGTTACATAATAAGAAAAAGGATATGTTTGTCTTCCTAGATTACCAGGAGAAATAGATATGAACAGATGTATAACATATGAAATCAGATTTCCTCATTAATTCAGCTGGATAGCCCACTCCTGATGGATTTGGCTTGCTTTAGTCCCATATGAATAAAACCCTGATAATACATTCCCAGATTGTCTTTTTCACATATAAAATTATTCTATAGGAGTAACGATGATAACATCTTGTTATGATGGAAATGTTAACTGAGTTTCTATTACTGGCTTTTTCTCTCTATAATACAGCAAAACAGATTTCTAGAGGAAATGTTTAATTCTAGAAATGTTTCTCATGCACTGAAAACAACACTATCAGATCAGAGATGTAGTCAACCAAATATATAAGTAAACATGAATGAGTGTGGAGAAGGGGATCCATTGCAAGTACATTTCATATATCTGAATACTTTATTTAGCAGGAAACATTTTTTGTCTTAAGTAAAGTAAATACCAACATTCTTTGATTCTTGGTGACATTTCCTACCTGTATTATTGTTTAATCTGACAATTTACTATTGACACTATATTTACTATTGACAATTACATGAGACCAATTTATTAACATTTAATAACTGTAGTAATTTCTACAACAGGCAGCTTCTAAGGCTTTTTCTCTAGCATTATCATATAGCATGCAATTTAAATTTTGAAAATAACATTGCATATTGGAGCAGAGGTCCACTTTTGCTAGTGACAGCTGAAGAGATGGAGTAAATAATCACGGTATAGAGCTGGCTAAGTACCATGTATGTGAAAACTGTCAATGGAGTGGACTAATGAGGCTACGTGGAAGAGGAGTTACCTCTCCTGCCCTTGGTTATGATATGGAATCAGTGTATTTTTTTTCTCTTCTATATGATATGGTTGGGAAATATAATATGTAAGTGTGCAGATAAGAGTAACATACTTTAACCCTTTACAAGTCAGTCAGTTTAATCTCTGGATTTTCACCAAGTATATACTGTGGATGCAAAATGATAATGAGCACCCAAAAGGGAGGAGATGCAGTGGCAAGATCTTGGAGGGCTTCCTTGTTAGTATGGAAATCCATTTCTCACTTTGGTGGCAGTGAAAGCCTCCAGGGGAGTCGTCTAGGGTTGGCTTGGGAACATAATGTAAAGGATGGAGTTCCTGAGAGGACTGAGTGCCCTATTGTGTAGAAAGAATAAAACATTCCATGAGCCAGGTGTGATCAGTGTGTCTCTAGAACTGCATTACTCTTGGGTAGAAATTTTATGAGAAAAAAGTTTAACAAAATGGTCATGTTGCAGTGGTGGAGCTGGCTATCAAAATTTGGCTATGACTGTGTTATCGGAAGAAAAAATGCCATAATACAGGGCCTCCATTGACTATGTTCCTGTTGGTTGGGGACAGAACTATATATATAATTTATTTACTTTAAAGAAGTAGCTCTGCTCTGGTTTGATTATGGATTTCTATCCGTCATGCAAATCTGGCTTTCACCTACTCTCTCCTGTCATCACATTACATAGAATGTACTACTTTACTGTCACATGGATGGTTGGTGTTACCTGAGTACTTCAAATAAGGTGAACCCATCACTATCAAGAATGCATTACCAGATTGGCACCCTGTATAAAGATCTGATGGCCCATGTATACACAAAGCATAGCAACTCTGGACCACAACAAATGGGAAAAAACATTTTATATATTAGCAGGATAAGATAGTCAAGAAAAATATAACTTATGAATATCAAAGTTCAGGTAAATAGATGCTTACAAGCCCTGAGCAGTATTTGTACTTTTACTGTTGCTCTTTTGCCTATAGATCAGCGTTGCCAAAAACAGCATTTCAGCATGCCGAAGGAAATGAGTGTCTACATTAATGTTCCTCCAGGCAGAAAGTGATGAAATGTGCAGTGTAATCTATATCCAGTAAACAGATTAGTGGATTTCAAAATTTGCTGAAAAATTTTGGCTGGACATAGGAAGCTGATATGCCTGACCTTTATTTTTGCCATGTGCCAAGTCTTCAACTTTATGTATCTTGGAAGCATCTGGTCAGGGTAGAGGGGGCAGGCATATGGGATGTCTTCTTGCAGAAGTATATCTGTCACATGTTCTCTTAAACTGTATGTAAAGCAAAACCTTTTTTCGTTTTTGTTTGGAAAAGCATGGGAAAGAGTTAAACCAGGGGTTCTCAACTAGTATTCTATGGGAGATCTGCAGATGTTGTGCAATCTTCACTGTGGCAGCAGAATTCTATTTGCCCAGTGGTGGCTTCAGGAGGGGTTGTTGCTAGGATTGTGAAAGACCTGGGGTACACTTGGGTACCATGGCTAAATGATGGGAGTGGTAAATTGTGAGGGGCTTAGAAAAAGCCTGAGCCCACTCACTGTATACACAGCTCACATTTGCCAGTCTTTGTTATTATAAAATATGCTTTAATTACTGTGCTACATGCAAAAGTCTAACGGATACAAACAAACCTCAGCACACTTAAAAAAATTCTTCCATTACATTTGCTTTTTTGCACACAGCCTACCCCAAAGTGATATTAAACCCTAAAGAAAACATTTATTATATTGTAGTTTGAGAATTCTTAGGTGTGGTGGCTGCATGCTTTTTTAGGCTTTCTTTCTTTTATCTTCAGCTGGTGATCCAGCCACTAAATCTGTTGTTTTTCAATAGCTGTTGTGCAGATGTAGCAGTAAAGCTACATGTACACTGGAACTGCTTTATTCGTCAATTCTACTGGCAGCAAGAAAACGCTAAATGCAGCAAAAAACGCACATATAAACTCATGACCGTGCTTAGCCTCGTTTTGTGCTTGGATGTTTATTAATTTCATTGGCCACAGTACTTGCCATTGAAATGAATAAACAACCGCCTAATGCTTAAGCATGTTTACACGTAATTTTGCAGAGTTTGACATTTTTTGGCAAAAATATTTCTGTCCTGAACACAATTCTTCTGCGTTCAGGAGAGGGACGTTTTAACTGCCCCTAAACTCTGCTGCTCCTAATCTCTGATAAAAGCCTATGTGTGCATGGACACATACAATCACCGTCCACTTTGTTAGGTACACCTTGCTAGTACCCAGTTGGACTCCCTTTTGCCTTCAAAATTGCCATAATTCTTCATGACATAGATTCAACAAGGTGTTGGAAACATTCCTCAGAGACTTTGGTCCATATTGACATTAGTTACTGTTGCCTTTCTATCATCTTGAACTAGTCTGCCCATTCTCCTCTGACCTTTGACGTCAACAAGGCATTTTTATCCACACAACTGCCGCTCACTGAATATTTCCCTTTCTGACCATTCTCTTAAACCTTTGAGATGATTGTGCATGAAAATCCCAGTAGATCAGCAGTTTTTGACATACTGAGACCAGCCCATCTGGCGCCAACAACCATGCCACGTTCAAACTTAATTTCTCTTTCTTCCCCATTCTGATGCTTGGTTTGAACTTCTGCAAGTCGTCTTTACTATGTCTAGGTGCCTAAATGCATTGAGTTCCTGGCATTTGATTGGCTGATTAGCAATTTGTGTTATTAAGCAATTGAACAGGTGTACATAATAAAGTGGTCGGAAAATGTAGGCTGTTATTGAATTGAGTTCAGGGGTTTTGGCAAAAAACCCCCCCAAAAGCTCCTAAACTCATATTTAGGAGCAGCAGTGTACATGAGGCCTTAGAGGGTTTAGGCAAACCATATACTACTGTCAGGGTGCTTACAATTACCAAGTTTTATTTATTTATGTAAAACCTTTATCCCAAAAGGAAAAAAAACTGTTTACTGTAACTACTTATAAAGTGTTAGATGGAGTTCAGCTTCAGTTCATAGTGTATCTAAATCTGCTAGTACATTTAACACTCCCTTCCCCCCATCTTAACAATGCTCCTG